CATTTTTTGTACAGATAGAGTGGGAGGGAGAGAGAGGAAGGAGAGAGAGAGTGAAACATCGACGTGAAGGGACACATCGAGTGGCTGCCACCCACACGACCAACCAGGGCCGGGGACAAACTGCAACCGAAGTACGTGCCCTTAGCGGGAACTGAACCCGGGTCTCTCCGGACCGCAGGCCGTTTTTTTTTTTTTTTTTTTTTTTTTTTTTTTTTTTCAAATATATAAGACCTTTAATCAGAGAAACTTACACAGGCAAAGCAGCTGCTCCCAGTGGTGTCCAGTTGGGAATAAAGCCACATCCTCCTAGGACTGGGCCTCTTTTTTATAAGTGGTTAACAGTAAAAGCATATTGGGGAGGGGGGTGTGGAGATAAACCACAGAACTTATATGCATATAAGCATAACCAATGGACATAGACAACAATGCTGTGAGGGAGGGGGCGGGATCGGGAGGAGGGTGTTAATGAGGGAAAAGGGGAAACATCTGTAACAAAAATAAAAAATTTTTTAAAAAGCATATGATGAGCAGTCACGTAGATCACCAGAAAGAACAATGCATTTCCAAGTTAATAGATAACATCAGGCAGTTATCCACACTCTGTACATCTATTAACCTCCTTCACGGGCCTGATGTTTATCTTTGGTTGGTATTCCAGTTTTCTCAGTAATCAGCCAAACTTGAAGCTCCTGAGAGGCAAAAAGTCGCAGATGGTTAAACAGAATCCAGCATTTTCCTGGACACCTTACTGCTGGAGACACATTGCATCTCTGAGCTCCCTACACATGAGAGAGACATTTTCATTCCAAAAGGTGGAAATGAGAAAGAAGGGATGAGGTGTCCAAAGCAAGTTCAAATTCAAGCAAGGCAAACCTCGTGAGATCATATGGCTCATAAACAATGTTCTTTGGTTTGAAGCCCTGCCTTCCAGACCCACTGGTACAGTGGTCCTGTCTTCACAGCGGCAGTGGACAAGAGTCCTGCCCCAGGGATTGAACTGTTGGTACAGTAGAGTGTCTGTATTTCCCCTCTTGGCCAATTCTAGAGACACTGGACACTATAATAATTAACCATTCCTGTAGTTTATTTTAATGATCTTAATTGGATAGTCTGATATAGTTTTGTATTACAGTTTATGTTAACAGACAGAGTACTTATTTTATCTACTAGGAATTCATGGAATTGTGCGGTCGAGGAATGCTAGGACTGGAAGGATCCTTTTTATTTTATTTATTTACTATTACTGTGTTTTTAATAAGGGAAAGTTTATTTAGATATTTACAGAGGCAAAGAAGGGCCAGGAAGGGTCCTTTTTAGTTCGAATTCCTGATCTTCTAGATCCGTGGTTCTCAACCTCCCTAATACCGCGACCCTTTAACACAGGTCCTCATGTTGTATGTGGGCGTGTCTGCATGTGGGCGGACCCGTCTGGAGACGGATAGAGGAGCGGTGTCTGGGTTCCTAAGACCATCGGAAATATGTGTTTTCTGATCTCCAAAGGGGTCGCGACCCACAGGTTGAGAACCACTGTTCTAGATCATCTAGTTGCTGATACTCAAGGTGTGGCCCCAGTCCTGGTATGGACTTCACCTGGTGGCTTTAGAGGCACAGTGTAGGCCTCACTGCCCTATGGAGCCGATCCTGCCTCTTAACTAGGTCCCCACGTGACCCGCACGCACAGTGAGAATGGAGATGCACTGCTCAGAGTCAACCTTCCATTTCACTGGAGAAACCTTCCATTCCATTGGAGAAAACTGGGAAAGTTAGAGAGTTGCCTAGAGTCACACAGTGACTCATTTCAGTGGTTCCCATCCTTGGATACATCTTGGGTTCACTTGGGAACCTTTAAAAAATCCTGATGCCTGGGTCCCATCCCCACACATTCTGACTTAGTTGGTCAGGCTGGCAGCCTGGGCATGAGAATGTAAAAGTCTCCCGGGATGACTCCTGTGCAGTCCAGCCGAGGGCCATGCATCGGGTTAGTGAGAACCCAGGGTTCGTGATGCTCCACGCAGGGATGTGCAGCAGAAACAGTGCTTCCCCTCCCTGGTGTTGCACCCGGCACACTGCCCCATTTTCTTCCCTTCACACCATTCCGCCCCCTCTTGCAGCCACTGGCATGTACCCCACAAAGGTAGGACCTTTGTCCTGTTTACTCCTAAGACGGTGTCTGGCGTGCGTTAGGTGCTCTCTGGCACTTGAAAAGCAAATGGAAGGAGTTACTATGAGAGGCATGTGTTTTACAAGAGTTTACTCGGACAGCACCTGCGGGGCCTAACTCGGTCCGTGGGAGGGAGGCTCCTGCAGGACCAGACATCTGAGTTGGGAATTCAGAGGCAGCCAGGGAAGACGGCGGGAGGACTCGAATCCAGACCTCTGTGACACTGAGCATGTGCTTTTCACCCTCCACGCTCTTCTGTGGGAAGAGAGGTCAGTTGTTTGCCCAGACTTCTCAGCCAGGGGTGGTGGAACTGGGGTACAGAACTCAGCTCTTCAGACCCTCAGATCAGGGGCATTTCCGCTCGGTATCATAAACCGATCTCAGGGTCTAGTGAAAGGACCTAACTCAGAGTCTGGCCCCTGGCCACCTTGACTTAATACAAGGTGGCCATTTCTTATGTGAGTTTTTTTTGTTTGTTTTAGGCATATTTTGAGAATCTGGTTATTTTGAGGATAGAATGATATTTGATTTCAATCTCAACTTGTGTGACTGGTTAAATTAAACTATTAAGTCTATTTATTAGCTCTGCCAGAGAGGCTCATTTGGTTGAGGGTTGTCCCGTGCACTGAAAGGTTGCCAGTTCGATTCCCAGTCAGGGCATATTAACTGGGTTTTGGGTTTGATCTCTGGTCAGGGCACATATGGAAGGCAACTGATAGATAACCCCCAACCCCCCGAGCATGTCCGTGCGTGAGGACTTATGCCAGAGCTGTGGAGAGATCATGTATGGTTGGTTGTTGATGATATTTCTGTTATATGTTATTTTTGGTGTTTGATTCTTTTGATTTGCTATTTGGTATATTTTACCACTGATTTACCTGTCATCAAACTTTGAAGTAAGGTGTAAAAGGCCTTTTTTGGGAAGCTATTTATTACTGGGTCCCACTGAACATTAGCGATTCGTAAAACTTTTGATGTTAAGGCCATTCTTAAAATGTCTTGATAAGTGGCAAACTTATGCTATATTTTTGGTAATAGGAAGGCAGAAAATGTTAAGCCTTGAGTGTCAGACATTCTTTTTAACATCATAACACTGCAAGTTTCAGTTCAGAAGCCACATGACGACGAGATGTGCGTTAGTGTGGCTGGAAGGCCGTTGCGGGCGGCTCTCGCTGTGCTGAGTGAAGGCAGAGCACTGTGATTTCGTGCGCGTGGCCACGGGGAGAAACACGCGGAGTTCCCCACGCGGTGCAGCCATCCTGAGACCTGCCCGTCGTTCAGAGGGAGAGCCCCGGGCTAGGCGCTACTGCAGGGTGTTACTGCGATGCCGCCACAGGCTGCCAGTCAGCGGTCACCACTGTCGATGAAATCAAAGAGAAGGCCAAAATGTCCTGGAACAGGAACTTTCTAGAAAGGGAAAATAAGTAATTAGGAAGCTGATGCTTATCTTGGTAGCTAGGCGTCACATTTCGGAGGAGGACTTATTTATGAGGAAGTACTTGATTGCTGATAGAAGGAGGAAAATGAAAAATTCATGGAAGTCAACATTAGATTTCAGCTCTTTTTGGCACAAAAAATTCAGGCCATCTTCAGTTTGTTTTCGAACATGTTAACATTGTCGAAGGTGGTCCTTGTTGACCAAGTGACGTTCCATGTTGGTGCGGTGCTTTTGGGTGTCAAGTACGAGTGTGTGCTTGTCCCATTCCGCTGAGCTGGCAGGGAGGGCTGTCCTCGGCCTTAGTGGGGTGATACAGAGTTAGATTACTTTCCCAAGGACAAGCTAGTGAGTGAGAGGCCTGAGCTATTTATATTGTGAGTACAAAACGCTGAGGGGTTGTCAAACTTCTGAACAGTCCTTGGTTTTCTAAGTATGTAAGTTTGTGGTTTGTAATGCAGGGTGAATGATCTAAAAATTACTTTATACTGCAACCAAAAGAAGAGGATATTAGGACCAAAAATAATTGACTGGCAAGACACAGAAGATGTTTTTCCTTTTTTAAAGTTACCGTTGTGTAGGTGTTTGTGTGAAATCTTTAATTTTATCTACGTAAAGCAGCCTGAGAGCAGAGATCTGTTCTGCACCTTCTTCCTGACCCGCCCCCCCACCTGCCGTACTGTTAGGTGGCACTCCGTAAATTCTTATGAATGAGTTGGGTGTTGGGCTTACTCTTGGGACATGGTTAATAATGTCGTTGACTATGGACTGAAGTACAGAATGAATATGGCACTGGTTCTTAGTAAAAATGTGCTGTGTGCAGCATAGATGCTTCCTATGTAAACATTGTACAAGTCATATATGTTCCCAGCATATATCTTTTCCACACACGTAGATTTTAAATTTTGTAACACTCAAACCTACAGAAAAATTGTAGGTGTGGTGCAAATAGCTTTTCCCCCCCTTGAACTATGTGAGAGTAAGTTGCCAATATATTCCCCCCCGAAATTCTTTTATATTTTCTACAAACCAGAACATTCTTCTCCATAACCACAAAACAGTCATAAAATCAGGAAACGAACACAAGACATTTCAACCATCTCACCCTCAGATGCTATTGCCCCTTGTGCCAGTTGACCCACGGTAACCTCTGTAGGGAAAGGTCCAGCCCTATCCTGGGCCGCGCTCCGAGTCCTCTGCCTCTAACACAGCAGTCCTGTCCGCGACCTTGACGCTCTTGGAGAGCACAGGCCAGTCATTTTTAGACCGTCCCTCCTGTGGGGTTTGTCTGATGTTTCCTCATGATTAGATCCAGGTTGCGTATCTTTGGCAGGAAGACCACAGAAGAGCCAGTGTATATCTTTTTCAAAGATTAGTTTTACATTTTATTTTCTGTTTCCTTAGAGCGTTTCCCAAAGTGTATTCTGCGGAACTAGCACCTACTGTGTTCTCAACACCGTGCCACCTCTAGAAGGTAGGATTCGAAAGCTTTTGACTTACAGGAAGGGGTGGGCTTGGCAGTGAGTCTTTCCATCATTGTAGTGCAGGAAATAGCCTGTGGCCAGGATTTAGAAGACCTGAGTTCTGCCTTTAACTTGCTGTGTGATCTTAGATGAGTTACTTAATCCTTCTGGGGGTAGCAAAATAATATAATAACCCCCTCGTAATGTTTCTTTGAGGATTAAAAAAGGCAAAGGGTGTAACCACATGGGAAATTCAAAGCACTCTGCACATGTTAGATACCAAAACAATGATTCTGTAATTCTAGTGTCAAATTCCAGGTGACTTAGAGTGGGAGTCGTGTGGGAAAAGCCACAGGTCATGTTTGAATTCCATTTGAGCCACTTACTAGCTGTGGATCTTGGGCAGGTTAATCTGAACCTCTAGCTCTTCATCTGTAAAATGGGGTAATTATGCCCTGATGGGTTCCTGTGAGGATTAAAGGAGAGAGTGCCATGTAAACTCCGTTCCGGATACCTGATACGGGGTCCCACAGATGTCACTCCCTTAGGAATAGTAGAAAATACTCTACATGATCACATGTAGCTCAGATTGACATTGCATGGAATGAAGCCAGAGAAGATGCCTCCAAACACAAATCGAAGAGGTCTATTGCAAAGCTCCTATGCCCACACTTCATCTGACCCCCCCACCCACATATTTTTAGATTGAGATGTAAATGCAGATAAATAGAAGTTCGTTGAACTTGGGTTATGAATTGACCTAAACCTGTGCCAGAGATGTGATAATCTGGTTGACAGAAAAAAGGGTAAATCTGGGGCACCTAAAAATAGAAAGGGTAATATTTGATGATCACACTGTAAGAAGAGGAAAGAGGTTGTTAAATAGCAAAATCAGTTACGTTTTTCTATTAAAAAACTTATTTTTATTTTTTTAAACCTTTAAATGTCTTTTGAATAACTACAACTGATTTAATTCATTTTGGAGACTCTCTTTGGAAAAGAATAAAGAGAAATCCTACCAATGCTGGCACATAGTTGGTGCTTAATTAGTAGATATTTTGGATTACTAGTGACTTGAAGGTCTTATGTTAGTAATGGCCATATTTGCTTCTGTGAGCACTGTGCTGATTTGAACAGAACAATATGTGGTATGTTTCCCTGAATCAGTTCCTATCCTACTAATTAACTCTAAGCACATAACAATTAGAGCTAACCAGAAAATTGTAGAGCTTCCTTTTAATGTTACTACTCCAAGTTGTTGATCAGATATATTCCTGATAAGATCGAGCAGTTTGATACACTGTTATATACTGACTTATTTTGAGCAGTTTGGTCTAGAGGTTGAAAGATTAATCGTAATCAACTTGATTGAATAATAGTGTTTGTAATTATTCACAGAACCAAAATTATTTAATTTTTATTAATTATGAATCAAAATAAAACGGATGCATCATTTCCAGGTTAGAGTTGATATAGTTATAATTTACCTTGCAGAAGTCAACAGTGTGTTCCAAGGAAAAGGTCAAATGTATTTCTTTGGATTTACGTAAAGGATTTGGCAGTGTGAATCTCAATTTTTAGAAATAACACATGAAAACAAGATTTCTGCTTTTTGCCTGATTAAGTAAATGAGCATTTTTGTATATTTTAGAAAGTTTTAGTTAAATTATACTGTGTCTCTGAAATTATTATTTGGAAAATATTTGAAGGTTGACTAGAAAAGATGGGTTGTTCTCTAGAATTAGAGCTGTCAGCCAAGCACATCATCTGTCAATTTCAGGAGCTTCACTCGTTACTGTTATTGTGAAGGAGGTTAGAAAATAATTTCCTGAAGTCACACATCACACATAGATACAGTGCGAGCCGGGGTAATGAAGGTTTTACTGGATTTGGTTGGCACTCCCATTTCGCGGTGTCAGAGCTGAACTGCCTGCACCCAACGCTGAGATGCAGTTGGAACCAGTGCACGCTCCACAGTAACTGTTAACTCAAGGTGCCGGTGCTGAGTCAGGGATGGGAACTGCGCCTGTAATTATCTAATTATTATATCATGGATGGTTATTCCAAAACGATGGAAAAGCAGCTCTTAATTTAAAACCCAGTTTCATACAGTATAGCCACGTGAGCAGTTCTTTTCTAGTGGAAAAGCAAAGTTACCTTTTATCACACTTCTAACTGGAAAAACTGAAATTTGAAAGTAAGAGTTTTAACATTTTGCCTATTTGAGTTCCTAATATTTTTTTCCCCAGTATTAAAATTGCTGTCTTCATAATGCACAGTGGGAAATTTACCTATTGTTATGTTTCTTAAAAACATCTAATTTATATTCAGCATGAACCTAAAATTCTGGAAATAGCACAGTTTAAAACTGATTAAGGGGAACTCATCGGCCTGTCATACTTCCATCCCTTTAGAGCCCGTGGCTGACATCTGCGGAAGCGCTATATTTAGCAGCTCGATTGAGACTGCTTACACAGGCTCCCTCCTTTCCTCCCGAGCCTTCGGCCCGCTCTCCCCTGCTGCCGACCACAGTGGGGTCAGAGTGCATGGCCGGCCGGGGGCTCTTCTACAGTGGTTCCTTGTGCTGTTGAGAAGGGCGCTCCCCCCCACCCCTCTCTCACTCCCCCCCACATACACACACACACGAACAGACACACCTGTACATAGATACACGTTAATATGTCACGGGGACCTCAGGCTAAAAGGACAGATTACTGACATCAGGTTGTAATCATAAACATAGAAATAGAGGCTGAAGTTTAATATTCTGTTAACCGTTGTTCAAAATTATATTTTAAGTAGTTTTCTCAACGATACGGCTAGACACACAATTCAGGGTATGCCATTGATTGAGTACTTGGCATAGCACTGTTCATAAAAGGCACCTGTAAATGGTACATATTTGAATTGAGTGTAGCTTTTAGAATTTCTCCTCTACTTTCAGAATTAGGAAGTTTTCAAAAATAAGAATAAAACCAGTTTAGGGGCAGAGAGGAGGGAAGGGAGGTGAGTGCTCATGGGATTCGGTCTTCTGTGCTTTCGAGTTTGATGGCCGTGGGCCCTCCCCCCGGGATGGAGCGCAGGGAGCATGCATCAGCACAGGAGATCACAAGGGTTTTTAAATAGAACTTTCTATGAACTTTCTCTTAGGTGAACACTCTTTTGGTTCTATAGCAAGATTTAAAAAAAAGTTTCATTTTATTTTGCTATTAAATTAAAATTTTGGATTCTTAAAAGCAGTCAGTTTTGAAGTTTTTCAGCTTTTTATACTGCTTATAGAAATAGAAGATGGGCATTATAATTCAATTGGTTGTGTAGTTTATGGACCAAAAAAGATTTAGTACGCTAAAACTCTCCTAAGTTCCTTCCTATAAAATATTTCCATATGATGTAGTAAATTCTTTTAGACTTTATTTCTATGCCCAATATTTTCCTGTTAAGATCTTTTCCTTGAGAAGAAATGTGTAAATCAGATGAAAAATGCTTGTAGAGGATTTTATTGTGACTGTAGAAAATACTTTTTATTCTTTTATGTTCAAAAACTAGACTGTGCTAAGTAAGCAACATTATAGTAAATGACTGGGAAAATAATGTTGTTGTATTTCACTTTTAACATTATTAACTAATAACTGTGTGCCTGTATAAGGCTGTTTAATTGTTAGATATGTAAGGTCATTGAAAGACAATCAATTCTATAGGGTTTATGCCTGGAAGAGAATTCTAATTCTCCTTGACTTAGAAAAACTGAACATATTAAGTAACTTACCCAAGGTCACACAATTAGAAAGTAGCAGAACTGGGCCCGAATGCTGGACTTTTGACTTGGAGTTCAGTGTTTTTATTGTATCTTGTTAATATCAGAAGAAGCTATTTCAACTGTGACTTTCTGGAGCAGATCCAGTGTTTAGTATTTAATGCATTGCTCCCTAGTACCTGGTTATGCACTGCACCCTTTGGATATTGGGGCTTCCATTTAGCATTAAAAAAAATTGGAGTGGGTAATTTGAAACTTGGAACCAAATGTGCCAAAACTGGCAAGAAATTTTGAGCCAGGCAAAGGGACTTTGTTACAGGAATGAAATAGGAAATGTTGTGCAATTAAATAAATGAAATAATACATAAAGGAAATGATCTCTTCTAGAAAGTATCAGGGAGACCGATGATCAGGTAGTGAGACCTGCCATCTAGTCTTTTTCTCTAATTTATAAGAGTTATATTTTGGTGAAATGTATTTTTTATTTTTATTTTTTTATCCTCACCCGAGGACATTTTTCGATATTTTGTTCACATAGAGTGAGAGGGAGAGAGAGAGAGAGAGAGAGAAACATCGACGTGAGAGCGACACATCGAGTGGTTGCCACCCACACAACCCAACCAGGGCTGGGGACAAACTGCAACCAAGGTACGTGCCCTTAGCGGGAACCGAACCCGGGTCTCTCCGGACCGCAGGCCAACGCTCCAACCGCTGAGCCAAACCGGCCAGGGCTGTGAAATGTATTGATGATGTAGATATGTGTATGTAAATTGAATTCATTAAAATGGTATATTTTTACGTTTAGGCTAGAAAGGCCAGCCTCGGAATTACCTAGCTAACTGCAGGTTTGAATTCCTTCTATCTGTAAGATTTGTAGTTTGCTTTTGAAAGGATAAGTCCCATTTGTATTCTCGGGTATGAAGTAGTAGTAGTTTATGAATCAAGTAGTTCTATTTTATTAGAATTCTTCTTCCCTAAAAAAAAAAACTTAAAACTTTTCAAATGGTTAATAGAAGATTTCTGGATTTTCTTAAAACTTTTCAAATGGTTAATAGAAGATTTCTGGATTTTGTGAGGTTAAAGCATTTTGCAATTTTGATGGATTTCATGGAAACCTGGTGCAAGAACCTTTAAAAGTAACGTTCTGGTCATGGGCAGCTGCAGGGTGGTCCCTGTTCACTGGCTTGTCGGGGACCAGATCCCTGCTGCTCTGACAAGCCTGTAAATGAGTCCTGTTCAACCAGAGGAGTGATGCTCCTGGGCTCAGGGACTGCCCCGAGCTGCTGCTCCTGACTTTGCAGTATACTTCACAGGAGGTCTTCTCTCTTCTTTTCTCTGAATTTATTGTTTTCTTCTTTGTAGATGATCATGGGAACAGCAATAGTAGTCATGTAAAAATCTTTTTACCGAAAAAGCTGCTTGAATGTCTGCCGAAATGTTCAAGTTTACCCAAAGAGAGGCACCGTTGGAACACTAATGAGGTAGATAAATTTCTATTTTTAGGGGTATAATTTCTTGAAGGGCAAACTTCTTAGGTCATTTTGTGTAGTACTACTTTATGTTAGCTTTAAGCTTGAAATATTGAAGTAGGAAATTATAAATGAGAAGAATATTTAAGCTGGATTTGACAGAAACCAATATGTTTCTTGAACTATTTCTGATCTGCTTGTCTTGCTTTAAAAACTATAAACTGTGCACGCTGACTGACACACTAAGGTCGCATGGGTTCCTCGAGCTGTGTTTTCTGCATTCTGGCGTCTTGCATTTAGGGTTAACTCTGCCTGCATCTCCACTGAACGTCCGTGCTCATGTTCTCACGAGTTAGTCCAGATACAGCCCAGTGCGCATGGGGTGTGCAGCGCCTTGACGCCGCGAAGTGCTGTGGAGTTGGTACGGGCAGGCTTCCTGCTGGCGAAACAGCTCTTCGTCCTCTGATGGAGAGTTTGCACGCTTTATCTAACGATAGGAATTCTTACGAAGAGTGAAGGGGTTTGCTAGACTATGTGCAGGGTGGGGCGAAGGTAGGCTTACAGTTCATATGGAAAATAATACAGTAATTAATAAATAATAATACAGGAATAAACTCTGTTTTGTGTACTCACAACTGTAAACCTCCTTTTGCCCTACCCTGTAATTGGCATCCATTTAGAAGTTTGATGAATTAGAATGAATAAAAGTTTATCTTCTTGGGTGATGTTTCTTTTTTTGGTAAATCTTAATCTGGGAGTTGTACTACTAGGGGTGGATTGCTTTGTCCTCTTTCTTAGTTTGGAAGCTGAATATTTGAATTCAGGGTGATGCCCATTTAGTGTGGTGATGAGAATTGGGTATGTGTTCATAACTTGGGGAATTAGAGTCCTTTCCTTCAAACGGCAGGAGTTCCTGGTTTCTCAGAGTTGGTTATTCTCAATTCGTGTTGCTGGCATGGACTTCCAAGTTCAGTTAAGTAGAACACCCCGCCCTGTATTGAGCATGCAGTTTGTCGGGACACAAGAAGAAAACAGTGCTGCCTGTTCACTCTTAGTTTTTAAAGATTATTTTGCTCTAACTTACTGATTTAGAATGCTTTTGTTTTGAGTTGTAAGAGCTTATATGGATGAAAGGTTCTTATCCCAGTTTACAGTGTTAAATACTCACTAGAACCTCGTAGCTATGATTTTAAATTTCTTTTAAGATATGTATATTTTGATTATTTGAATAAATTATATTTCCCCTTCAGACAGAATACTTTTGCTTTGACAAACATTAGCTAGTTTAGAGGCCTGTTGTTTCATATGGTCATTTATTAATTATTTTAAACACTTAAGACATGAAAGCAAAGTAAATATGCTGGAAATTAGTCTTAATCATAGATTATTACTCTGTCAGCAGAACAGTTTAATTTGGAAGCCATTCATGAATTATTTAAAAATTCAGTATGTTTCTGTGTATTCCCTGAAACATGGGTTGGATACCATATTGTTGTATATTAGTTTCAGTTTATTTCTAACTGCATCAAAACACATAATAGATAAGTATTTTTCAATTTTATATGAAGTTGATAATTTATTTTAATTATGATTTGAAATTATATTTAAAACTAGCTATTGCTTAATTAAAATCATTGGTCTTAAGAATCTTATAAAGCTGGAGGTAAACAGTGTTAGAAATTTAGTCGGTAGATTATTTAGATCATTGATTTCCAAAGTGTTTTGAAACTTTGGAGCATAACCCTTCAACAGAGTTCACATTTTTATTATCTCTAGATTATTTACATGTTTTAATATTTTAGGTATATTATAAAACACCCAATAAAGAATATTTATAGAGGACAAGATTAACAGGAAAATTAGTTCTTTATTTGGTCCCAGGATCCGAGTACATACAGCTCTCTGGAAACTGCTGGTTTAGGTCACATGTTGCTAACGTCCGAGTGCAAAGAGAGGAACTGCTTCCCTGTCTGTGATGGTGAAATGTAAAGCTGGGGTCTGAGAGATGTGAGTTGTTGGGGCAGGGGTGAGGAGAGCGGTCCTGAGGGCAGGTGCAGGCCACCGAAGGCGGCTCAGGTAGCAGCAGCCAGGGAGAACACCCTCCCCTGGTGGTCCGGCATCATACACAGTTATTACAATATTATGGACTATGTGCCCTGTGCTGTACTTGACATCCCCGTGACTATTTGTAACTGCCAATTCCTACTTCTTAATCCCTTCCCTTTCTCACCCAGTCCTCCAAGCCCCCTACGATTCTTTTTTTTTTTTTTTTAAACTGGCTTGGATAATAGGAGGAATAGATTGTAGTGTTACTTCTTTGCCCTGGCTGGGCATTGTCATTTCCCATGCCCTCCAGCCTGCCACTACAACCTGAAGGAGACGCACGTCAGTGTGCTTGTCTCTCCCTGGGCTTGGTGGTCCTACGGAGGCAAGAGTCCCTTTAGACAGAGTTGCCCAGGAAGTCCCTTGAATGCTCCTGGAGTAAAATGTGGCCATCCTGCCGTCACCAGGGGCCTTGGGTTGGAGCAGATTGCTGTGTTTTGGTGGAGGGCCACTTGAAGTGGTCAGCTTGTGTTTAGGAGCTGTGTTTCTTCAGATCTGCTCATCAGGACCAGGCCCTGTCACTGCAGAGACGTGCAGGAACCACGGCCGTTCGTTTCCCTCTGGACCTCTGCACAGCACCTTCCCCTGTGGACTGGCCTGAGTTGCTGGGACGAGATGTTGGCTGTCATCTTTCTTGTCTCCCATGCTCTCCCCTGACTCTGCGGGGTGTGTACATTGAGTTCCTGGGTGTAATGTGACTCGTCTGTAGAAATTTGGAGAAGTTCTTTTACTAGAACTGTGATATAATGTTTGTGATTATTGGAGAAATGTGCTGTGCTAGTTGAGAAAGGGAGAGTGAGATTGTGCCCATTCAGATGCTGCCAGGTATGGAGCCCTGTTCTTTGCCAGTGGCTTAGTACTGGATATAATTATTTCCAAGCCTTCTAACACTATTACAAGATGCATAATAATTCTTTTGACAGATGAGGGACTGTTGATAAAAAGTGGTTAAATAATTTGATGAAGATAGTGCATTGCATAAGGCCTCTCTTGGTCTGACCTTTATTGCTTTTAATTTTTAGGAACATTCGTTCTATTGTGGGTTGTCTGGGCTTTTAATCAAAGACCTGTAACTCTTAACCATATTAGTATACTTGGCAAAACCATTCTGTGAGTTATTTTGGATGAAAAAGAGTTAATAGAAGATTGGTGTTGTGGGTTAATATGCCAGTATTTGGTGAAGCTGAAAGTCACTGAAAAGGAAGACTATTAGAGGATAAGAGAGATCTTAGGGCCTCGTTAAGCTACTTTTAACCTTTCTAATTCATTGGAGTAGGTAAAATCTCCTTCCCTTCTTGAGTGCTATTTGCAATTGCAAAATAAATGTCTCTAAAAACAAATGAATTTTAGATTACACGTTCTCCATCCCACACACCCTTCCCCCAGGTTCTGACGATGATAAAGGAAATGAGGCTGATGACAACAATAATCATGGCAGCTAACATTTCTAGAACATCTGTTGTGTGCTAGGCACTAGGGGGTCCTTGACACGAACAGTCCCAGTCCCGTATACTCCTTGAATGAATCCTGTGAAGTAGGTCATACAAGAGAGATTTGGGTGGTGGACTTGGGGTTCAGTTCTGTCCCACAGAGTGGTAACTTCAAATGGGTTTTGCCAAGATCTGGCAGCTGTTGAGTGACTTGTGATCCTTTGTTTTCTAGAATTATTTGGCTTCTTTATTTATTTGCATTTTAAAGTATTATACATAAACCTAATGTATTTTTGTGTGAAGACTTTTTTAAAAAAGGACAAACACTATTTCTTTTGCAAATCGTTTAGATTTCTTAATGAATATTAATATGTGGCCTCTGGATAATGAAGAAAATATATTATAAGTAGAAATTTTGTACCTCTGGGTAACTGGAGGGTTAGGCTTGATTTTTATATCCAGGGCAGGAGAGAGAGAATGTATTAAGCATAGAGCACATTTGTCAAAGAACCAACTCCTGTTTCATAATCATTTTGGCATTCACATTTTTATTAGGTGAACTGTTACAAGGTCTCTGTGTTTTAAGTTAATATTTTTGAGGCCCAGGGCCAGATATAACCATGCTAATACAGCTTTCTGCCTGCACAGATGGCTGCTTCACAACCACACTGCCGGCTTCATGCGTGGTGTCGGCCGAACCTTTGTTTAGTCCTTGATTGGCTGTTTAACTGAAAATACACTCCTGCGTTCCGCAGTCGCCAGGGCCGCCTTCTTCCGAAGGCAGCCACCTAATGGAGCGCCAAGGACCTTGTATCACGACAATGTGCTCCTTCAATCGGCTCAGGTCACTTTTGTGTGCTACTAGTTTAAACTGTTAATGCTCTCTTTTTTCTTTGGGTAATTCTCACCCGAGGACATTTTTCCCATTGATTTTTAGAGAGAGTGGGAGGGAGGGAAGAGGAGAGAGAGAGACAGGGAGAGAAACATTGATGTGAGAGGACATGTTGATTCATTGCCTCCTGCATGTGTCCCGACTGGGCTGGGGATTGTGGCCAGGGTTAAATACATTAAAAAAAAATGTTCTTACTGATTTTTTAGAGAGGAGGGAGAGAGAGATAGGAACATCGATGTGAGAGAGATACGTTGATCAGCTGCCTCCTGCATGCCCCCTATTGGTAATTGAGCCCAAAACCCAGGCATGTGCCCCAACTGGGAATCAAACCGGAACCTCAGTCCATGGGACGATGCCCCATCCACTGAGCCATGCTGACCGGGCTAAGTGCATTTTTTAATGGTAAAAATGTCTGTAGAGAGCAGCACAGTTATAGACCGATACATTTGAAGACATACCATGAACCCAAAGAAGAAAAACCCACTGAGTATAATGTTTTTTATGGGGAGAAAAATTACCCTTAAAATTCTGAATACCCCCCCTGTCCAACTTTTTATATTTAGGTAAGAAAAATGAACTTTAAGACC